AATTCTAATTATTTATTTAAGGGGAGGATTTCAAAAGATGAATATATTAACTAAATTAAAAATAAAGATAAAATAACTAAAAAGCAATTAACTAAGAAAAGATAGATGTTTACACAATCAATGAATGAATCGATCTAGGATTATAATTTAACTAACAATCATGTTTAGCATCAATTTCATCAACTTATTTGATTATCTAGTTATTGATTCACAGGGTTAAATGTATGATCATGGTCTCCCGACCTCTAATCGCCTACGATAAATGATAACATAACTACATCGTTGAGCGGGAATAGGTTGGACCAAGTACCGAGCATTACGATTTCTTCCTGTATAGTGACCAAGCATGGTTTCTAGGTATATCCCTATCCTAGATACAAACTAACCCTAATTATTAAGAGAAAATCATGCTCCTTATATTCCACGTTCTATCATCTTATTCCTCTCCCGATTTCAATTAGGACAATATGTTTATTTCAATGGTGATCAAGCATCAAAATAGTAATCACAAAAATATAAGAACAACTAATATGATAAACAAATCATGTCGAATCAAAATCACTAAACAATCATATTGTAAGTAATTATAATCCAAGAACGAGAAGTTTAACTCCACATAGACATAGAGCAATTACAACCCATCATTCAAAGAAAAGATGTAAAATAAATAAAAGAGAAAGAAAAGATAAAACTCTAAATCAAAAGTTAATTTCTACATTCATCCTCCTCTCCTAATAATTATTCTTATGGACTATTTATAGATGTAGAAAATCCTGAATAAAATAATTGAGTCCAAAATAAATTAGAAATTCAAAACCAAATGGAATTGGATTCCGTTTGAAACACTGCTTCGTCCGCCGCCTTTCAATGGTGTCTTCATATTGCTGCCACGTGCCAAATGCGCCAATTTCAATTGAATATCTCTTTGCTCACTTTCATATGTATACAATATTATATTAAATTTAATGCATTAAGCTGTCTGATTGATTTTCTTCTTCAATCTTTCATCTTTAATTTTTTTTAGCTTCAAATTTCTTTATTTTTTTATCAATTTAATTCTACAAATAAAATACACTATTAAACACAATTCATAAAATTCATGCTCAAAAAGAATAAATATAAATAAAAGAGAAAGAAAAGATAAAACTATAAATCAAAAGTTAATTTCTACATTCATCATCCTCTCCTAATAATTATTCTTATGGACTATTTATAGATGTAGAAAATCCTGAATAAAATAATGAGTCCAAAATAAATTAGAAATTCAAAACCAAACGGAATTGGATTCCGTTTGAAACACTACTTCGTCCGCCGCTTTTCAATGGTGTCTTCATATTGCTGCCAAGTGCCAAATGCGCCAATTTCAATTGAATATCTCTTTGCTCACTTTCATATGTATACAATATTATATTAAATTTAATGCATTAAGCTGTCTGATTGATGTTCTTCAATCTTTCATCTTTAATTTTTTTTAGCTTTAAATTTCTTTATTTTTTTATCAATTTAATTCTACAAATAAAATACACTATTAAGCACAATTCATAAAATTCATGCTCAAAAAGAATAAATATAAATAATAAATGTGAGGCAAATAATGATTAAAATATGTATTTTGGCCTCACATCATCAATCTAGGTAAATTAGGTATATTCTTATCCTTGATACTAATCAAGAGTTCTTAGAACCAAAGAGCTCAAGAAAAGCTATAGTCTTCTTGATGTTTTTGACAACACTACTTCCTCCTTTTGAAGTATTTATAAAGAACTTTGCTCTTTTGGGGGTTGAGAATCCAAAATCAGGAATTGACATGGACAACACTTGAAGTGTTTGTTGTCCCAACATGATGACCTTGCTCATCATAACAGGTTTGAACACTCCAAAGGTAACACCAACGATTTTTTATACTTCAACAAAGAACTTGGAGGTACAACCTTAAATGAAGGTAATTAGGAGTTAATCTTCTTGGAGGTCATTTTAGTGTCCTTTCATGATTGAAAAGCTGAGATGAAAGGTAGATATTATCCCACTAGCGTGCTAGAATTTATAGACGATAAAATTTGTGTCGAGAAAATAATAATTAGGTGTGAAAAATATCACAACAATCGTAGTATTTTGTTTAAGATATAAGTGTTACAATCTCTATAAATCCTCTGATTCTTCTTTTCAAATATATATTCAAGAGCTATTGAGCTGGATCTTGACTTGTACTTGAATTTAAGGGCTTTTGAGCTTATTCTTGATTTGGTGGTCTTGATCTTGAGTTGTTTCTTGAACTTGAGTGCTTGAATGCTTGAACTTATAGCTTGTAGAGAAATCTACGACGTTTGATCCACAAGATCTCTCTGCCTTCTTGTTAGAATTCTGGTGACTTTTTTGAACTACGAGGACCCCTATTTATAGTTGTAAAATGAAAGCGTTGGGATGAGGACACTTTTTTCGGCCAATCAGATTTAAGTGACATGACGAAGGAGTTGTGATGATGACAAATTGTCTTTGGTCAATCAGATTTAAGTGACATGATAATATATGATTGGTCAGAACATGTGACACATTTTTATTGGTCTTTGATTTGGCTAGGCATGCTATGTCATTTTAACTTGTGGCATGATCCTATTTGTTTCTTTGTTTAACTTTGCATGTCACGTCATTTGACATGTAGTACCAAAATTTTCCTCTAGAATGAGATGACATATTGTGCTTAGCAAATCGAGCTCATCATATGTAGACAAAATTAATGGACTAGTCCAATGAAATTGAACTTTTAATCAAATCCATATTTATATTGAACTAGTGTATCTTGAATTTAATATGATCTGAATCATTTTATAAATTTATCTTCAATAAAGTTTTAAATGATTACATACACAAACTAGTATTACTTTCTCCTTTCTCAATTTCATATTTGATTGTGACCAAAACAAGCAATTAATGTTGTTTCAACAATTTATAGCACGAGTCTTTATAAGGATTCAACAATTATAACTTAAACAAAAGTGATCAATCTAGAAATTTATGACACACTTCTATTCTTGCGGCTATTTCTATTTTATTAACATTGTGTATCATACAAATATTTTCTAATCAATTTAACCAAATACTGAACTATTAAAAGCCAAAAATCAATAATAAATATCCTCTTAATTTATTTATGAATTTAACATATTCTCAATTTGATAACCGGTAAATCAAAACTGATAATACATCAAACCTCCAAACTAAACATGGATACACTTGGGGGTCATTTGGTTATTGGTTAGAGTTATGCAAGTATCAGTTATTCAGAAATTAGTTATGTAGATATTAATTATGCAAGTAATAATTATGTCGGTATTCTTTATGTAGGATTTAGTTGTTTAAAAATTACAATACATAAATTATTACTTATTGAATATTTAACTTGTTGTAAATGAATATACTTTTTTTAAAACAAAATCTAAAATTATAAAATTCAAAATTGATAGTAATATATGTGATAAACAAGCCAAAATACATCAAAGTATCACCAGTCACCAGTCACCACTAACTATAAACTATGATGCAGAAATATAAAATGCAACAATTCTGGTTCGGGTCGGGGGGGGGGGGGGGGGGGGGCGGAGCACGAGGATGGCGAAACTAGTACAAAAATAGCTTAGTCTTTTTTTTTTTTAATAAAAAAATTAAGAAATAACTTAGTCGACCTCCTTAATCTTGTAAATTAATAACATTATTTACAAATAAATACGTAATAATTAAGGGTAAACATGTAATTTTATTAATTTAATCCATATACAGTAAAACCTCACTAAATTAATAATCTCTCTAAGATAATATTTTCCTCTAGTCCCGACTTGGTTCAATGAAAAAAATCACTCATCTCGATAAGATAATATATTTTCAGAAGATCCTTATATAAATATATGATCCCATTAATATTATAAATTAATATTGTTTTAAAAGTACAAATATATCTTAGATAATTTAGTGAAATATAATTTCATTGTGTAGTTAAAATTTAAATATAGTTGAAGTCCATCTCTATCTTTTCTTATTGCATCCAAAAGTTTCGATGTTGTCTTTTCGAACTGCACCATAAAATTATGAAGAGTTCTAGATGCGATTAGCGTTTCATTACACGTAACTAGTTCCAAATGTATTGTATCATTTTCAACTTCATCATCAACATTGATGTATTCATTATACTTTATGTATAATAAATTTATTTTTTACGTGAATTCAATAAATATGATACATAAATTAGTAAAATACAATTATTTTGATGTAATCGAAATAAACCTTCACTAAATCTCAAAACATTCTTTAAATTAATAAATATTAATTTGTTGATTAAATAATATCTCTACAAATAATAATATTTCATGGTCCTATCTATATTAATTTAGTGAGGTTTTATTGTATAACTAATACCCTCATAACTTATTCCACCCTCTACTCCGCATAAAATTATACATCGATTTCCTCATAAGTTATGTGAGTATTAGCTATGTAGAATTACAAAAACACAACCAAACACCATATAAAATCAATACATAAATAACTTTTATACAACATTTGTAAACACACCAATCAAACATTGTATAAAATTTATAAGGATAAGGTACAAGTACCTTCCTAAACTATGACCGAAATTCCAGAGACACCTTAAGGTCCTATTACCCCTGAATCTATTTTTTTTGTAGTTTTGTACACCTTTTTGATTTACGTGACATCCAAATATTTCCCACGCGCTTCAATTGTGTGGAGTCATGGAGTGTGCCACGTAAGTCAAAAGGTGTACAAAGTTACAAAAAAATGAGTTCAGGAGAGTAATATGACCTTTGTTTAGTTAAGACGCATCTCTGAAATTTCGATCCTAATCTAGAGGTACTTATACCTTATTCCAAATTTATACATGAAACTTTTATTCTATTTGCAAACCAAACATGATATAAAATGAGTTCAGGAGGCTAATATGTAAATGCTTATTCATAAATTCAACTCCCAACCCTTGAGCGTTTTTTTTTTTGATAAACCCCGAAGAAACCCTTGTCCATCGACGACTTTCCGGTTCGCCTCTCTTACTGTTGGTACCATTGAGAGAGAGAGACAGTAGTGTTGAGTTAGATGATTAAAGGAGGCAAAACTTCGGTGCTAACATATGCTGAAAAATGCAAGGTGAGTGGGGAACCTCTTGTTCATTAAAAAATTTCCTTCATAAATGATCTTATGCATGCTTTTGCAGAATATATTGGCATCTAATTGGCAAGGTTACCTTAATACTGTGAAGGCTGATGCTAATGGAAGGTATATATATGCTTTTATGATATTATTATTTGCCTTTTGTCCCATCTGTTTATTACCTTGTTTATCTCAGCAAAGGGGAAATATACACTTCAAAAGTCCGCTATTTCGTCAGGAGAGGCAAGCCCTACATCTGGGTACCTGAAAATGATATGCACAATGTGGTATATTTCAGCCCTTTCACATTTTTAAGCACTTCGATATGAGATCTTAATAATATCTCAAATCTGCATTTACCAAGTAATTTCAGTATTCTAACCTTATTTGAATTGTTTCGTCTTACACTTAATTGCTTACCTGTACTACTCCTCTTGAGGGTATTATAGATTTTCATTTGGATGATACAGGAGATATTATCATGTTATGTAAAATTAACTTTGTTTTATGGTGTTCATAATGACGAAAATGACAATATTAAACTTGTGTACGAATAAGATGGACCATATGCATTTATGGTCTCCCTACCATCAGTTTGATAAGTTTTTTCAATCTTATCCATGCAGCAGTATAAAGAAAAAGAAAAAAAATTGAGCTTGTGAGTTGAGCCTAATTTGAGGTTCTCTGTCTATTCTACCCTCCCTTCCTCCTCCAATTGCCTTGTGCTCATGGTTATCCCTCCCTCAAAGAGAGGGTAGAGTGGAGGTGGTATTTCTACATAATGTCTATCCAAATACTTTCTGTTAGTAGCATGATTCATGTAGTGATACCTTGAAAAGGTATTTTTTTTCTTGATTATTTTGTTTCTCTGGATAAGAAGAAGCTTTAATCTATGACTAGGCATGGTGGTATACTCAATATGTGTATCATATGATTGATAATTTGATAAAAGCTGATTCACTATACTATAAGGAGTCGTTTGGTGAGGGGTAAGAATAAATGGTCATGGGATAAAAAAATAGTCCTGAGATTAAATTTTGGTGTCTTATTTGGTTGTCATGTTTGGGATAACTTATCCCACCATTTATACCATAGTGATGGGATAAGTTATCCCATATAGATGGTGGGATAAGTTATCCCAGGATAATTATCCTGGGATAACTTGTTCCCAACCAAACGACCCCTAAACGTCTTACCATAGGACATATAAACAGAGAGTAACAAAACCTTGATTAAAACAAAATTTGAAAACTTCAAAAAAAAAAGAAAAGAAAGGAAGATGAACCTTTGAAGGTATAATAATTTGATAGTGACCTAAAGTTACTAGTTTAATTTTTTTTTGATAGCAACCTACGCTTTATATTTATTGAGAAAAGTAGCATGTATTATAAACAAAGGAATACACCGAAGGTATTCCAATATTACTTACAATCAGAAATCATAGAAGTATAATTAGCTTCCTATGAATTCATAAGTAATCTAAAGTGCTAGGAATATCCTCTTCTTCTTGAGGATATTCATGTTTACACCAAAAAAAGAAGAAGAAAAGAGCCGACTATTCATCTTCATTTTCTGAAGGGGGCAACTCTTGTTTTCAAAGCACCTCTGATTCCTTTCCATCCAGATAGTCCACTAAATGCTCAGGCTGGGACAATCTTCCATCTCTCCCTGTGCCCTCACTACTATCTCTATTCCACTATGGTAAAGCTTAATTAATATTCCTTTGCATAAGCTAGCTATTGCCCCTTAGGTTGATGAAAATCTGCCACATCTTCAGTCTCTCCACAATGTAGAAAGAGATGGTTTATTGTCACTGTCTCACATTCACAATAAGAACATCTGGAGCGCCTTTTTCATGAGGCTATCCTGAGTGAGTGCAACCTGTTTTGTCTAACAACCAAGTGAAAGATGTCACCTTGAATGTCACCTATCATCTTCGAGGCTAACCACCTTGTTGTGTGTTTGATCTTTGAGAGCTTCTGTAACCTGAACAAACTGAGGATCTTGCTTGCTTGTCTGGTAGTCAAAACAGATTGCCCTCACTTGTGTTCAGGCCTTTGCAATGCTCTAGAATGTTAAGAAACTCAATCAATGTGCTCACCTCCCAATCATTCAAATGTTTTCTTAAACCTGAGGTCTCATCCCTGATTGTCTCTCGTCTCTCTAACTGTAGCCTTTCTCTGCAGGCTCAAGTTGAAAATTAGGAAATCTAGCTTTTAAAGTGTCTTGATCTACCCAACAGTCTTCCCTCCATTACCTACCTTGATTTTACTATTGTTGATTAATTTGGGTCATCTCCATACTCCAGTTTCATAAGGTCGTAATGCCACCTTGTTGATCCACGAGTCCTCCATTCCATATCTTGCCTTTATTGTATCCTTCCATAATGCTTGTTCTTGAGAGACAAATAAGAAGGCATGGTTTTGAATTTTTAGATATCTTATTCCCTGACCCCTTCCTTTTTACTAAGTGTGACATGATCCCACTTTACTAAGTGGATCTTGTGATTGTTTGGATCACAATTTCCTTGCAACAAAAAATTCCTTGCAATAGCATCCAGTCTGTCAGTCACATTTGTTGGCATAGGGAAAACATACATCATGTAGCTAGGTAGTGTATCAAAAACATTTTTTATGAGTGCAACTCTACCACCCAAAGACGAATACTAGCTCTTCCAGTTCACTAGCTTCATATCACATTTTTCCAGTACATTGTTCCTGTTCCAAATACCTTTTGACCTTGCATACCAAGATAAACTGTGGGAAGCTATCCTATTCCCCTCCCCCCAAGTATAGTGGCTAAATTAGCAATCCTAGGCTATTCTGTTCAGACTCTTCAAAAATATGGACAAGTGCGTGTCGGATCCTCCAAAAAATAGTACATTTTTGAAGGATCCGACACAGCTGCGACATCATATATGGAGAGTCTGAGCAACATAGATCCTAGGCACCTCATTAACTAGGTAAAGAAGCGTTCAGCCCAATTAATGTGAGGACTTGAAATGGCTTCAAATAAAATAAGAATGACTCTCAAGTACTTCAGTTGAGAGTTATCTGCATCACAAAAGATCAAAGTGTCATCAACATATTGGAAGTGAGATATGGCCACGCTCTGTCTATCATCCATGTTTGCTTTGAAACCCCGTATCCAACCATTTGTTTGGTGCTGTCCTAAGCATGTCATTGAGTCCCTCCATTGCTAAAATAAATAGAAAAAGGGATAAAGGGTCTCCTTGTATCAGTCCTCTCTTAGAAGAGAAGAAACCAACAGGGGATCCATTTATCAGAATAGAGAACTTCACAGTTGTAGTACATAACTTAATTCATTTGTCACCAAAGCCCATACTTTATATGATCTTCTGGAGAAAGCTCCAGTGTAAATGATCACAGGCTCTTTCAATATCCAACTTGCATAAGATGTCTGACACCTTGCTGATCTTCCTCACATCCACACACTCATTTGCAATCAATATAACATCTATAATCTGCCTGCCTTTTATAAATGTCATTTGTTGAGCATACACGAGTTTAGAAACTACTTTTTTGAGCCTTTCCGTCAACACTTTTGAGATGATCTTGTATATACAACCTATTAAGCTAATAGGTCTGAAGTCCTTCACTGGCCCCCATATTCTTTGGAATCAGCATTTGAACTTTTTTCAAAAATGCCTTGATCATGAAAATTCTGTACAGCTGCAACTTCTCTACTGACGACATCCCAGCATGTGATAAAGAAGGCCATAGTGAAGCCATTATGGCTAGGTGTTTTGTCCCTAGCACATGCCATAATACAGTCTTTGATTTCATTATCACTGAACTGGCTCTGTAGCATAATATTATCAGCTCCACTGTTCCTGTTCTAGATTAAATTGAGGTCTCTATCTCTCTGTCTCTAAGCAACCTACAACTGTTACCCCTTAATTAACGTGGATATCCGTATGGATCAGGAAGATAACTGCCTACCATTTTTTTCAATAAGATTATTTTCTTCTCAATTTACAAATCCGGGCTTCTGATTTGCAAGTCGGATTCTACAAGAGGGGTGAAGTTGGGTTATGGCATTCAGAAGTGATTAAAGCAGAGTAATTCAAGGTTGTTGGGGCATTTTGGTATACTTAACGAATTTCATTAGTCTGAGAAGAAGATGATTTTTTTAGTCTCGGATATGCTTCCATTTTTGTTCTAGGTTTTCTTTATTTTCCTGTGCGTTCAGTTCCCTTCTTGTTCCCAGAGCTTGAGGCATTGTAGTGCAACTCCTACTGATCTCAGTTTCCATAAAAAAAGTTAGTAACTTAGTCTTCACAATTACTCCACTTTACTGAATGCAGATAGTATGGAAAGACATCTATGGGATGTGGAGAATGAAATCAGTCGGTTTCTTAAGAACCTTACTTTAAACAGGGAAAGCTTGCTTTCTGGGAATGCAAAATAAGATGGGAGAAAGGTTGAAATAGGAACAAGTGATAATGTAGCAAAAAGATTTTGGAACTCTTGTTTCTGATTTCTTATGTATTGCTTTTTGTGAAGATTTGAGTTACTTCTGTGTTCATTCGCTCTTTCTGGGATTTGCTTTCTTCTTGATTTGTATATATTCCTACAGAGTCGATTTATTTCATTGTCTTTATTTTTACTTATAGAGCTTAAGCCCCTCTTCTCTAGTCAAATGAAGATTCTCATTCTTTCAAAACCCTTATTTTTACATGTAGGGCTTAAACCCCTCCTCTCTAGTCAATGAAGATTCTTATTCTTTTAAAACCTTTCTCTTAAAACTATAGCTATCAGAGACAACACAAGATGAAGTAATAATGACGGCATATGAATTCGGGACAACATTGTAAGGATAATATAATTCTTGAATATATATTGCTATAGGACTCCATAAAACATTGCCTTTTAGCTTTCCGATAAGGCATAAGACATAAAAAAAGACACCCAAACTTGGCCTCAACTAACAAGTAAACATTCCAGCTTTTAGTATGCACATATAGACACCTCAAATCGTCTCCTGTGTCATTTAAACATTCCAACTCACAAAATGATCATCTAGACATTTCCAAAATTTATGTGCCAAGTCAGCGTCAAGTGTCCACGAAACATAGTGGGATGAGTTGGGATGTTTAGTTACCAGTTGAGACCAAGTTGAGGTGTCTAGAAGTGCACTCTCAAAGTTAAGAGTGCTTACTTGTTAGCCGAGGCCAAGTTTGAGTGTTTGTTCATGCATTATGCCTTTTGATAAACTTCTTTTTGCAAATTACTAAGTTTTAATTTTTAACTCATGATTTCCTGGTTTGGGTTTCAAAGCTCCACATTAGTTTCTGATACCATGAAGGAAAATATAATAGCTTAGCTATTGAGTAATACGGAATCTAATTTGTGATGCATGCTTGTTGGTTGAATTGGTTCATTGGAGGATGTACAACAGCCCTGACATGTTGTTTCTCTTTTCTATGTAGAACACAATGATAGATGAGCGCGGTTCTTTTGCTGTGGCCAGTCCCTTCCCAGGTCCACTGCCAAGTTTTCTCAAATCTATCAAGAAAGTGGGTATAGAACCGTTTGTTTTCCTACATCTTGTGTCTGATAGCTCTAACCTTAATCATTCAATTCATTATTTTTCTTGTGTAGCGATTAGTGAGACTGTCAGTCTGAAGTGGTTGTCATGTTGTATATCACTTCCTTGTTTCCATTTAAGTTTGTTTCTTGAGGAACTCTTCACACAGTGCGTTCTTCTATCTGGGGGATGTTTAGCTATTTGTACAAACTGACATAGCATAATGCAGTTACCAGCTCGGGTTGCTCTGATGGGTGAAGTTCTGCCTCTTAAAGATGAAAAGGTGTGTTTTAGATGGCTCCTTCCCGACATATGAATTCACTTTATTTTAACCTCTAATATTGCTTGTCTGACTATTCAATTCATTTGCCTATCTTCTGCTTTTATGAGAAACTTTGAATCAACGTATTTATGTTGTTCTTGATAGCACTCTTCGGTGATGTTAGGCTCCCAACTATTCATAGTAGTGAAACAGTATGTTAGAGCAGGGAGGGATGGCCATTTTGTGAGGGGGCTGGTTTGGAAGGCTTTCACCAAATGGAATTTTGGCTAACCTTTTCTGAATGTGAACTTGAGGCTGCTCGGACCTGCATAAGTCAAGTTTAAGCTACTCATCCCCATAGGTATTCGCCTAGCAAACAACTATCATCCTTCTGCATGAATTGAGCAGATATTAAAAGTATGAAACAGTGAGATATACTGAATGCTTGAAAGTTTGAGTTCATCAAAAGGTACAAAATAAAGATAAAATTCACGAGTAAAATGACAGAAGGCAGGATGTAAATAAAGGGAGAAATGGATACTTTCTTCAGCTTATTTGTATAGAGAAAGCAAGATAGGTTGAAATTGGACCATCCATTGAATAAGAAAGGAGGAAGGCTCGGCAAATTCCAATGAAAGCTGTGAATTATTGTTAACTTTTGCTAATCCTCTGCATACATTCATGGACTGCAAGTGAATGTACTACAAGTGATTTCTGCCATTTCATAGTTATATTTCTGCCTTTTTATTTACCTGTTGGGTTAGACCAGCAATTGTGTAGGATTGACTAACTGAGGAGCTGAGTTGATATGGTTGTAGCTTGGTAATGCCCATTTGTGGTCATACAACTAAATTGTCTAGCTAAGTGACCTTGTGCTGGAAAGAGAGTTGTTCGTTTCACTAATGGACCTTTTCATGCTAGCATGAAGAAGTGATTTTTGAAATGTTTCTTCTTGCTCTGTGACAGGCTAGGTTGCCTAGAGACAGCCTTAAGGAAGCCATATCATCTGAAAGGAGCATGATTGAGAAGTTCTCTTACTCCGTTTTGGGTATACTGAATTCATCCAGCCTTGGTGCTACATGCCGAGGTGACAATCTCCAGGAATTACTTGATTCAGACAAAAGATATGTTGTCTTCAAGTGCAGCCCAAGGTGAACAGTTTTTAATTCAACTCTTATCAGTAATTGTTTTTTATTCTGCTAGATTATCATATACTCTTCATCAAAAAAGATTAATATGTACTATCAGTTCGATTTTTGTTTCCTCTTAACCTTCTGTCCCTCTGCAATATTATACTGAGAGTCGACAAAGAAATGTGATAAACTTTTCTGCTGAAATAGTAAATAAAGGAACAAATACTGTTGTTTCATACTAGTTACACTGAAATTACAACAAGAAGTATGAAAAACAATCACTAGGACACTGCCAACACCATAAATTACATCCGAAGACATGAATGTGTTATGAATCATTAGGGAAGGATCGATTCACAAGGCGATATATAAATTAGCTCATTAAAGGTAGGCTGAAACCTTAGAATTCATTAAAAGAGAGAACTCCGATCTCTTCAGCTCTTCAAAGGGAGACTGAAACCTTAGAGTTCAATGGAAGAGAGAACTCTAATCTCTTGCTTTTTTGCTGAAATATGACTTATCGATTTATTCATCAAAAGCCCCTTTAAATAGGAGTCTTATTACATCAATAGCAAGTCTAATGAAACTATGAAAGTAGGAGACCTAATTCCTATTCCAAACTAATAACTATAACTTAACTTAATCCTTATGAAACTATGAAACATAATCTCTATTCTAGAATAATAAATAAAGCACCTAAAAATATAATTAAATACTAAATTTAAGGGCTTCCAATGCATCTACAACAGAATGAGATATAGTCATACAATACGTAAACACTAAGATTACACGAACTTTCAACATTTCTATACATTCGAAAGGTTAGAACTAGGGATGTTCAAATCCGAACTGAAAAAGTTATTGGTTTATAGTAATGAGTTATTGGTTTTCAGTTTTGATAACAATTTTGATTTTTTTTTGTTATCAAGTTGTTGGTTCTTAATGGTTTGAAGTTTTTTCTTAATGGGTTAACTGATAACCCGATAGTAGATTAAATAATTTTATTTATACCATTTTCTATATAAAGTCATTGACTTAGAGCTTAGTTTCCTACTTTTATTTCTGGCTGTCTCAAACTTTTGGTTATTCTACAATAAGCTGCAATAAGTGAACTCATGTGCATGGTTCATTTGGTTTGTCACGTTGTTTCTAAGTGATTATTGTGTCAAATCTTAACGATTAAACCGATAATCGAACCGACAACGATCAATAACCGATAAACCAATAAGTCAATATCTTAATGGTTCTATAACGGTTTAGCATGTCTACAAAACGATAACCCAATAAGTCAAACTAATAAACTTCAAAACCGAACTGAACCAAACCAATCGATACTCAACCCTAGCTAGAACTCTCCCAAAAGATTCCTTTTTCTTTTTCTAAATATCCCTCTTGTAACCATCCTACCCCTTTTTTCTATCGAAAAACCACTCGATACATGTGTAATTGTCTCATGACAGTTACTAAGAGCCTGTTTGGCATTGCTGTTGGGAGGCCAGAAACACTTATTTTGAGAAAAAAACACTTTTGTTGATAAATTGAGTGTTTGGCAAATCAGTAAAAATGCTTTTAAATAGAAGCAGAAACAGTTTTTCTGCTGTTGGGAAGAAGCTAAAAATAGAAGCAGAAACAAAAAAATATTTTTCTCAAGACTAAAATATCCTTTTCATAGATACATATTTACCAATATATTTCTTATTAATTAATTAACATATTTCATAAGTTTGGTTAAATTTCATATAAGAATTTTATTTTTAATTTTTATATAATAAATTTTATAATTTATTTTACGTTTATATATTATTATTTTATATATTATATATTATTGTACGTTTTATTTTGTAGAATTAGAAAAACTGTAACAACAATATTTTTACAAGATCAGAAAAAAGAAAAAAAATAACAATTAGAGATTTCATCCTCCCAAAAAGGTATACTATTGATTGAAAATTTAAACATATAAATTGTAATTTAAAAAAATAAAAATTTAATTATTTTTTTATAATAGATATTTAAAATAGTTTCTCTATAAAATAATATTAATATTAGAAGTGCATCAATAATTCTTTTTTTGTAATTTGACTCTTAAAAACACTTTTAAAAAAAGATTGGTCAAACGCAATTTGCTTATGAAAAACACTTTTCAAATGAATTAACCAAACACAAATTGTTTTTTTCCAAAAGCATTTTCCTAAAAAGCCATTTTTAAAAAGTGCTTCTAAAAATAAGTTGTTTTTAGCAGCAATGCCGAACAGACTCCAAGTCTTTTAATTGTTTATTTTGGCCTCCTGGGATAAGTTTTTATAACTTGAGGCTCATCAAAATGACTTTGAGCTCTATAAGTTTTTGGCATGAGTACTTATCCAACAAGTAAGAAAAGAGATGTTTGAGATGAGATTCTAACTTTTTCTCTTCTTTCTTGGAGATAAATTGGTACAACTGAATGTAGAACTAGTGTTATTAAAGGCAAAAAACGCAAAATAGCTCTAAGGTTCATTGGGATAGCGCAAATAAAACGTGGGCTTTAGTGAAGAAGGTGCAAATGGAGGAAAAATACAAATATTTATTTTTAGTCCAAGACTAATAATTATAATAACAAGATAATAAATATATGGACAAAGAAATTGAATTTTTTTATATTAAGTAAAATATCAATTATTTAGTGTCGCCTCTTCAGGATTACACTCATTGGTAAGGAATAATATGTCTTATAGCCTTGATGACGACACTGAAACACCCATAAAGTGAGGTGAAGTGATCAATATGTATGTTTGATTGCTAATTATTGTGAATGCTAGCTATATTCACAATTTTGTGAACCTTTTATAATATCAATATTTAAAAGTTAGTGACTTTTAGATAAGTAGGAATGGATTTCTAGAAGTACCTTTGTAGGTTGTAGCTTCCTTTTTATTTACTCCCTGGTTACCCGTGCATGTGATGTAATTTAACTGTATTTGACAATTATGGAGTGAGTTATCACGGTAATTTTGTAATGGTAGATATGTAGGAATGGATTTCCTTTAACTATTTTTTTGCTTTAGATTCTTGGAAACCACTTATTACATTTTATTCCGTATAGGTGTGCAAACAATTTTTTAGAATATCTTTATATGGTAAACTTCACCCACCAATTCCTCCCCTAGTGTGAGGAGCTCAACCTCCATCTTCTCCTCTTGGTTTTGTTGGTGACTCAACCACAATGTTATGGTCCTTGATATGTATTAAAGAATGACAAAAGTCCCACATCAGTGGTTAATGAGATGGGTGGACGGACTCCTTATAAGGCTTGGGCAATCCTCCTCCCTTTGAACTAGCTTTTGGGGTGTGAGTTAGACACAAAACCTAATTTAACATGGTATCAGAGCAGTCGCCCGTCTCACCCAATGTTGGGGCCCCCAAAATCAAACTTGCCCAATCACTAGATGCTAAGCACTGGGCGTGAGGTGGGGGTGTTAAAGAATGACAAAAGTCCCACATTGGTGGTTAATGAGATGGGTGGACTCCTTATAAGGCTTGGACAATCCTCCTTCCTTTGAGCTAGCTTTTGGGGAGTGAGTTAGGCCCAAGACCTAATTTAACAATATGGATGTAGTTATGGGACGCTGCAAGATGAAATTAGATGTTTTTTCCGTATGACCTATGTTGTTGGTTCGTCATAGAGAACCTACAATTTCTTGATTTAAAGTACTCAAAAACTAAAATGATTTTTTACTTGGATTTCATAGGATAAACATAGAGTTTAATACAATACTGATAAGATAACTGCCCTAGAAACTAGGACATGGCTTCCTTACATTACTAGAACGAGAAACTGCAAATTACTACAAAGAAATAACTACTACTGGAATGAGAAACTGCAAATAACTACTACAAAGAAGTAACTACTTGAAATAATTACTGCTGTAAATAGTTGGGAGATTTGAGTGATAACATTACTCCCCTCCTTCAAACCGTTGTTTCTCCTCAAGCGCCAAGTGTGGAAAGTATTTGTATTTTCCTTTGTTTTAGCAAATTCTACCTCATTGTCTATAGAGTCGATCCAAAATGATTTCTCGCATTGATGACCTTGGGTTCACATTTCATCACAGTTTAAACAAAATCCTTTGTCGCTTTTCCTCCATTTTAGATCTGGTCAATTTTTTCACAAATTTGATATGTTGAGGTGAGAAACCTGATGTCTTTGATCCGCAATTATCTAACAATTGCGAACAAATGAGTTGTTCCTTGAGTTCATAAAGCCGAGATAAACTCATCACCATGGCCAAATTTGGAGATTAGGCAACTCAACCTCAATTGCTATATTAATCAGCAAGATCATTGATATAAAGTTCATTTTTTTGTGATTGTGCGAGTGTACAAGCCCATGAAACTAACTGCTTAAACTTTTCTTGGTAATGTGCCATAGACCTGATGTGGTGTAACTTAGCTAATCATTCCAACTTGTGATTGGTGGCCCAAAACGAAGGCTACAATGATGTTTGAATTCATCCTAAGAAGGTTGAGGCATATCTATTTCTTGTTGAAGAAACCAAAGTTGTGCATTTCCCTCCAAATGAAAAGGAGCAAGTCCAACCTTTTCTTCTTCTGGAGTTTGTTGGTGTCGAAAGAAGCGTTCACATATGTTCAACCATTCCAAAGGGTCCTCCGACTTTTAAATCGTGGGAAATCCAACTTTGTATGTCGAGGAATGATGGAACTTCCTCCCGCTTCTGATTTTGACCCTCCTGCCACTCCAGTTTTACCCTTCCAACCGCGAGTTTGACTGGTATGTTCAGTTGATTCAGAATCAACCTTTGAATTTGCTAAATCCTTTGTTAGTGCATCAAAGCGAGCATTCATTGTTTCCTGTTTGGCTAAATTGGCTGCATGTTCTTCTTGGAACAAGTTCACCAATTGTGCCAGTTGATATTGAATTTGGTCTCCCATAACTCCCGACTCTGATACCAATTTTTTACGGTCCCCTGATGTGGATCTAGTTATGGGTCACTGCAAGATGAAATAAGATGTTTTCTTTCTACGACTTATGGTGTTGGTTTGTTATGAGAGATCATGCAATCCCTTGAGTTAAATTACTCAAAAAACTGTAATCATTTTCTGCTTAGAATTCAAGGGATAAACATAGAGTTTAAATACAATACTGATAAGATTGCTACCCCTAGAAATTAGGATATGAGTTCAGACTTCCCAACATTACTAGAATGAGAAACTGCAAACTACTACGAAGAAATAACTAATACTGGAATGAGAAACTGCCAATAGCTACTACTATAAACCGTTGGGAGACTAAGAAGTGATAATACATAACCTTATGCTTGGAGGCGCAGGGTCCTCAGTAGGCTATTCTTGCTTATCCAAACAAGAATAAAAGCCCTCAAGAGTGTGGCCTAGTGGTGAATGAAGTGGTTAGAATGATGAGGTCTTAGGTTCAAATCCCAGCAGAGATAAAAACACTAGGTGATTTCTTCCCATCTGTCCTAGTCTTGGTGGACAGAGTCAACTGGTACCAGTTTTTGGTGGAGTGACAGATGTCCCATGAAATTAGTTGTGTGCATGTTGGCCCGGATACCACGGTTATCGAAAATAATAAAAAAAAGTGTATGATATAAATTCAGATGGATGGGACAATTTAATATATCTGAAAACTGGCTAGAAATGTCTTGCTAATGAAAAATTATCTACTTCACAGTTCATACATGTACTTTGACAGCAATGGAGGGACTCATGAAGTAGATCTAGAGGAAGTCCATGCAACAAAACCTGATCCTTTATGTAAGAGTTTTAGAACTGAACTGTTGATGTTTGCATATCTGATTATTTTGAGGACCAATGTGTTCTCATTATTGATGAGCAGTATTCTCTAAATGTATTGTATTTTGTAGCATCACATACCATGAGCCTGATTGATGGAATTAATCAAAGTGAGGTGAGGCGTAGGGCTCTAATTCTCTTCTGCATCACGCACTTGAATAAGAACGCAAAGGTGATTTCTGGTTGTCTCTGAAAGCTTGGGTAAAATGTATTTGTCTTCTCTGAGTTCTCATGCTAAATATCTGCTAAGTGATTTTCTTATACTTTCATTTGGAAGTTCCAAGATAAATTAAGCCACTGCACTAGATTTAGGGCCATTGTGACTGTATATAACCTGGTAAATTCTTACATATGTTTACTGCCATTATTTTCATTTTTCAAGGTGGGATCCTTAAATTTTATGTCTAACTTATAATTGTCACAGCATATCATTGTTGTGATCGAGGTAGTTACTATATCATGACACACATAAGCCATAAACCCACACCAAACATCAACAAATATTGCCCTCGGCCTACCAATTTGCATTATCATTCAGTCACTCTATAAACTATTAGCTGATATGCAGAAGAGAACTGATCCCTGGTTTTATGTGAAGGATGCTTATCTGCTTTCTATAGATCGGAAAGGATTGGATGTGCTGGGAAAAGTTTTAGGTCCAATAAGGAGCGATGGTTCTCGTGAATATCAGTGGAGGGAGTTCAGAATTGCATTCAGAGAAGAGGCACACACTGTTGAAACATTCTGCCGCCAGCTTGTTGAAATGGAGGAGGAATCACTCAAGAGTATCTCCAACTTTAGTGGCATATAAATAGGGTGGAATTAGCATCACAGAGACAGGTTTGAATAGAAAGCAAGGAGAACCCACCAGGAATAACTGCATCATGATTCATGGGTCACTTTTGACAGAGAAGGGGAACTGCGATAGAGGGTCCTGGCTAGGAACAGAAGGATGAACACTTTTATAATGCAGATGAGTGATCTTGTGATTTGAGCTGTGTTCATATCTGTTCTTGTAACCTAGATCATAAAATGTTAATAACCTAAGCTGAGCCGTGACACTGTAGTTGAGGAATGTTATTCATTGTGATTTTAACTGTTAAAAAGCTTATGGTTGGTGCGAGCTGCATACCCTCACCTATTATAAAGAGAACGTGTTTCATTAAATTTAATAGAAGATAATATTGTTATTATTTGGTGGGTGACTTGTCAGTGACAGTACGAAGACCCTACTAGACACACATGACTCATTTTCAAGGCTGGATAGCTACTTGTTAGTTAGGGCTGACAGAAGAAAGTTTTGAACCTGCAGGTTAGTGTTTTGAATTCACTGATCCATTGCTTGGGCTAACACAAGATAGATATGTACAGGTACTGTACTTGATCCGGTTCATATTCGCAGAAGAGAAGCACTAAAGCTCTTGAAACTAGAGTATCTTGTTATGTTGTCTGATGGTCATATCCTCAGACATGTGCAACAATTTGATGACAGTTAATCTGAGGAACACCCATTGAAATGCTAGTGTTCAAATTTACCAAGTAACTAACTATATTCAAATTCAAAATGCTTCTTATATAGTACGGAAATCAATTCGGTGTATGCCTTATACATTGAAGAAAAGAGAAAAGAAACAATAGCTAATCCTAGGATCTCAAACATATCCATTTTAAAACAATACATCTTTCATCAAAAGAGAAAATCAAGTAGTAACGCTAAGAATTTAAGAGAGTAAATATAGAAATATGAATAAGAAAAACAACAATTTAAGATAAAAAAAAATTCCTATACTCGGAGTGGCTCTGGAATTACGGGTATAGGCTGGGGGTACTTATGCATTTTCCCCCTTTACTAATGTTTTATTGAGAAAAGGTATATTAGGGAGGACTGCCTGGTGCATACATGTTAGCAGAGTCCGGAAAAGAGTTTATGGATACAATTTTTTTTATAAAGTTTCAGTTGTAAGAATTGTCGGTTGCGATCTCATAAGAATCACGCATTCTGTATTTTCAGTAATATATTTTGTCATTTTCAGGATTTTTACATTGAATCAAGGTAAAAATTAGCCAGCTGGAGTGATTGTGGCACCAAATTAGATAGAGGCAACAGGCCAAAAGGTAAAAACAAAAGCATCACAATTTTGGGAGATTGTTTACGCCGCAGGCATAAATATGTTTGTGAATAAAAAATGTGTTTAAAACAGCACAATCAATTTTCTGGAGATTGTTTTACAGGCATATACAAATATGCAAAAAGAATAGTATGAATATATTTGTATGATTTGTGTCTTCCTTGATTTCCATTTCCATTTACAGCAACAATAATAACATCAACGTATGTGCGTCCTGCCTAAAGACCATTCTCCTGTGTCCTTCACTGCTGCCTGGAAATAACAAAACAAACAACTAGACGGTAAATGCCATGTTTCTAACAGCGAAAGGGTTAAATCTTGAGGACATTCTGACTTACAGGAGTTTTTACTGATGGAAATACATTCCAAAAGCGGAGTGTCTCATCTCCTGCTCCAGTCACTATTGTCTGCGAGACCACGTTAAATTGTAATTTTTAAGTATGATCCTTTCTTTCTACGATAATGTGATCGATCGATCTCCTTTTCAGACATGTAATATATTGTGCAATACCTGGCCATCAGGTGACATGGCAAGATATAGGACACGCAAACTATGACCAGTTAGAGTGGCAACCTGTCACAACTTGGGATTTAATTAAAATACCCAAAACCATACAATCTAAAGAGAATAAATAAAGAATAACAACTTAATTAGTTTACCTTTGACATTGATGGATACTTCCACACCATGATTTGGTTTTGGGAATACCCATGTGTGCTAACTATCTCATTTACATTTCTACTCCAAGCTAGATTGCATACCTGCATAAATCTTGTCAAATTTCCACAAATTAGGCGGAAAATAAGTTGGCATTGTAATTCCCACAATATACAAACCTGGCTTCCTGTATCAATATGGTTCAACTGATTGCCATTCGTTGTGTTCCAAAAGCGAATACATCGATCAGCTGTTCCTCCTCCTGATGCCAGAAGGCCACATTGGTGAGGAGACCAGGTAATGGCCTTAACAGCGGCAGTATGCTCCGTTAGCTTCAAAACTGGTTGCTGAGATCGCTGATTCCACACTAAGAGCTGTGGATCACAATTCACAACCAACATACTTAGCATATACGTTCTTTTGTTGTTGTTTAATTAGTTGATTAGATGTGTGATAACTATACCTGATTGTCATTTCCCCCTGACGCAAGTTCTCGATCATCATGAGACCATTTCAACCCACATACCTGATTGAGAGAGACAAAAAAATATTGACTCTTAAAAAGAAGATGCCCTTTGGTTTCATTTGAAGTTGTATGTAGTGAAAAATTACCTCGGACTTGTGACCGATAAATTTGCTAACAAAGTCACTTGGAACACGAACGTCATGCTGAAGGATGTTTCTGTCTCTGCTACCCGAAGATAGGATGCGCGAACTCCACGCAAGGACTCCCGTTCTTGTTTGATGTCCACCAAATGTTCTAACCTTTTTGCATTGAGTTCCATCCCAAACCTGAAAGAGATTGATTGATCAGTCCCTATGAATAACTATATATCTCGACAAAACTTGACATTGATTTGTGTACAATCTCTCTGTACCTGAACTTGCCCAAGACTTGTACCAATTGATATATAAGACCCCTCCCTAGTCCATTGGACAGAGCAGACACTATCAGTCGGTCCTAAGTCGCACAACTTTGTCACCTATTGAGAAATGCAATATTCAGTTGAGAGTATCAAGTAGAACAGAAAAAAGAAGCATTTTCTACTCACTCTACTATTTGAAGCTGTCCATAAATAAACACAAGTTCCGAGCCCAACCGCAAGGACATTCTGTGAAGACCAATCAACTAGGTTCAAATAGAAGTCATCTTGAAGTGATGGTGCATCCAGAACCTGCAATCAATGGAAAGTCATAAACTATGCAAAATTAAACGAAGAATATTTAACCATTGTGACTAAATATATATATACCTTGTGGGGTGTTTTGGGCACTTTCCTAGGGGGTTTAGGAGGGGTAGAAACCTCGTTGGAGAGTGAAGTATCTGTATGCCCCAAAACTGAAGGGGAATACGGAGAATTAGGGCCTGAATTTTCAGTTTTAAACCTGAGCATATTCTTACTGGGACTACTCATGGGTGAATTAGCACATCCTTTAGAACCTGCAGGAGAAGAGAAACAACCAAAATCAGCCCCAAAAAGCTCAGATTTCAACAACCTGGAATATGCATCATTGTTTCCTCCTCCTTCTTTCACCGGAGACGCCTTCTCCACCAGACCAAAAGTGTGTAGCCTTGACGAAGATCTACAAGGAATGAATCTATCACTGCAACTTGCAGATTTAGACGACGGAGATGATGACAGGTTCGATATTGTCCGAGGTGACCTGTTGGACATTGGCGATGACGCCAAATTGGTTGTTCGCTTTGATCTGGGAGGAGAAGAAAAAGCATCAAGCCGAAGAGAGGTTTCGGACATTGTAGATGGAAGGTTAATTCCACTCTTTCTTCTTTGTGTTATCGATTCCATGTTTTTTCTTGAGCTCAATTCAATGGCGGAAGCTCAAATTCTGTATAGAAAAAACCTCTATGTTGTTGATGGAAAGAAGGCAGGAAGGTAACGGATAGTTTATTTAGTGAGAAAGGAAGGAGGATTTGATGAAATATTATGAGCGCTTTTCAAGTCCCAACGGTTACTTTCTGCTGCTTCCCTTTATTTTATGTTTTCTCTCACTAGCCGTTGTTGCTTCACTCTTTCTCTCACCTCAAACTACTTCTACCTTAATTACTAGCTTTAATATATCTACAGCTTTTCATTATTTTTTTTATAAAATTAGATGTGGTTGATTATAGTTTTTGGCAGAATATATTTTCATTTCAATTTTATTTATTTTTTTGAAATGAAAAAAAGTAAAAAGTAACTTATACTCAATTATACTAAACAAAAACATACTTACTAATTTTAAATTATGCTAAACTGGTATATGATGATCCATCAATAGGTGATGAGAGACCTCATATATTGAAAAAGATTTATGACTTTGATGAAAAAAATTATACAAATAAGCAAAACAAATCTGAAGTAAATTCAGACGAATCAAGCAAAATAAATAGAAAGTTATAGAGGGGATATTTTCATATAATATAAAAGTTTAGAGGCAAGTTTTAATTATTATTTTTTAAAGAAAAACAACAATAATATAGCTTGGCCTAAAAACAGATTTGAAGTAGATTTTGGGATTTGAAAACCAGTCTCTCAAGAATTAGATAATATCTATGATCAAACCATATATTTCTCAAAAAAAAAAAGAGAGCATACATTTCAAAAATATTTTAAAATTTATGTCCAAATCGGTTCTATAAATGACTAGCCAAAGCTCAAAAGGTCCACACTTTGCAGTTATAAAATATATTCTCTTATAATTGTAAAAATCGAATATAAAAAAAGGTTAACGTAGATAAGTAAATAAGGTATACACATTATGTCTATATTTTGTTTGAAATAATTGTTTATCCAAAGGAAAGGAAATAATATAATGCATAAAAATCAAAACTAACATGCTAAGGGGTTGTTTGATACTATATTATATTAGTAAAATAATATATGTATTAACTCCGTATATTAGTAAATACTTTATTTGGTATACTATGCAATGTATAACTAATGTAAATTATATTGTGTATTAAGGTGTGTATTACTAATGTCATGAATTTCTAGGTATTAATAATGCAAGGATTTTGATGCATGCATTAGCACCAAATTATAATTGTAGAGTGTATCTTTGTAAATAAATATTTTCATGCAATTGTAATTCCCCAAAAGTTTCTAAATTACGACTAGAACTTGAAAAGTTTAGAAAATTAGTCCACACTTTTTTTTAATGTTTTACGGGCACCATCTACAGATGACGGGCCTGCAAAATTCTACAATCATCAAGATCTTCCTGCAAAATTCTACGGACAGTTGTTATTATCAAGATCTTGTGCCTGCAAAATTCTAAAACTGTGAAAGAAAAAGTAACAATTATTATTGGAGGACTTCAATGTAATCTATTTTTGTATAATAGTTCTTACAAAAAATGTTCAAAAATATTCGTAACATATTAAAAATGATTCAATAAAATGTTCTCCTTCCACAATCAATTTTGTCCTTTTTTCCACCTAAGTAAAAAATATCCTTAACCTATTAGAAATTGTTCAAATTTCCTCTCCTTCTACCTAAAAGAAAATATGTTTGTCAACTATGAAATACTAGTTAATATATCTGCACTCCATGCAGTCTTCAAATATTTTATTAGAATTTATACATATAATATTTTTATAATATTAAAATATTTTTAAAAATCCTTTAGCCTATAAATTTGAATAAATTAACTCTCAACATTTTAATCCATTTTACTACTATTAGCATTTTAGTTATATATCTTCTTTGTTTTTCATTACGTAATAATTTAAGACTTTTATAGCTACTAAAATTTATGTTAAGTAGTATTGTATTTGCACTCTTTCCTAAGAAACATGTTAAAAGAAAAAAATTCTCCACAAAAAATTACTCCCTTCGTTCATTTTTATATGTCACATTTTTAAATTGCATTTGCATTAAGAAATTAAGTAACTTTACTCTTCTATCCTTATTTAATGTTTTCTTAAGTCAACTTATCAATAAATGATGAATATGCTAGATTTCAAAAATTAAAATGCATTTAGATGACTATTTAAATTTTTGAGTTTATTTTTGGAGCTAATTTTTTTCACCAATTGATCTAAAAAAAAATTAAAAAATTGTTAAAGCTTCAACTTTCAAGATTATATTAGATTTTTTTCTCCATCTTTTATTTTTAATTTGTTTGTTGAGATTTCTTTTTCAACTTAAGATTTTATAGAATAGTGATTGGAGAGAGTAATTAATCAATGTATGGAGTACTCCAATGAATATTAATTACTTATTAGTTTTCCTAGAATGACCAAAATATATATTTCCAAGACTAATTAACTACTCTATTAAGGGTATAATAGGAAAAATATGGTAATTTATGCATTGATTTTATAAAATGACAAGTATTATAGACCAACTATTAATAGAAAGAGATGACATATAAAAAGGAACGGAGGGAGTATTCTTTGTGGGCATACATTAAATTTCTCCTTTTCCGTGATTAAGACAATATTTTCAAACAACATTTATTCGGATTAATTCAAACATATATTTATATATTTTGTTTATTTAATTCAAGTATTTTTATTACGCAAGACAAACATGTAAACAAACAACTACGTACTTTACACAAAAAACTTTAAAAATCAAAAGGAAACTAAATAATTGGCAAAGTATAGTAAAAAAATTGTAGACATATATATTTATAATTAGAATTTTTTTTTGAGTTATTTCTAATATGCTAAGGGCATTTTTGATCTAATAGATAGAAGGAGGGACAAATCTGAACTATTTCCAATTGGTGAAGGGCACTTTTTGTTCAATTTGTGGAAGGAGGGGTAAATTTTAACCAATAGGTGGAAGGAGGACATTTTGAACTATTTCTAATATGTTAAAGCATTTTTGAACCGTTTCCGTAGTTTTTTATAGTAACTGGTTCATCATCTAGAATTTAAAGAAGTTTTTTATTACTTTGTAATTCACCATTATAATTAGTGCTATTAGAGGTGTTGGGGGGGGGGGGGGGAGGAGGGGTAGATTTTGGGTCAGTTATTGGTCAAAATCAAATCAATCAACTATGATATACATTTATCGATTCAATTGTTATTAAAGAGCTTGAGAATAAAAGCAAACTTGAATGAGTTTTATTCAATCGTAGCATCTGCTCAAGTACAAGTGAACGTAACTAACTCGACTAATTTTAAGGAAGTAATCTAACAACTTATTATAATCTTGAAGATAAGATTAAATATCTTATTCAAACTAATTTAAAAAAAAACTAAACATATTCCTAACAAACTAATAGCCATAAGTTTATCTCAATACACCCCCTCAAGTTTTGTGTTGTGCAATAACAACTAACTTGAATAAACATTGAAGAAAGGTAGGTATGGGAAGAAGCACTCTATTTGAATTCTCATTATTGCGGAGATAACGAAAATCCACGATAATGTGCTTCATTTTAGTGTGGAAAACTGGATTCTTGCCAAGATATGAAATGTCAATATTATCATAGAAACTAGTAGGTATTTGTGATATATGATATCATAGTTCATTCAACAAGTTTTGAGCATAATTGATTTACTTTTGTAACGAAGAGTAAGCTTCAAATCGCAAAGTTGAGTGATATATATGTGTTTCTACAAATTTTAGAACTCTCTTCTGTTTGATTGTGTTGATAAAAATATTTGAAAAATATTCCCAAATTCATTGCACTTAGAAATTCACTCAACTTTGAGTTGTTCACTTAGAAAGTTACTTAACTTTGTTTTATAACTCAAAAGCCACTCAACAATTGATGTTTCACTTATAAAGTCACTCAACTATTGATGTTTTACTTAGAAAGTCACTCAACTATTGATGTTTCACTTAAAAAGTCACTCAATCAATTTAAATAATTTTTTTATAAAATTTTATTGAAATTTAATTTTTATTTTAAACTATTCTTTTGAAGAAATAATAAGATAGCTATTTTAATTATCTTATTAAACTGAATTATTTAATTATAATTCTTTTGAAAAACGTACCGTAGCAATTTACCCCTGAGAAAAAACCTTTTTCGTTTTAGCAATGGTATAATTGGAATTAAATATGTTAAGAAATGATTAAGAAAAAAAGGTTGGAATTCATAAGAAGTAATAAAAAATACGCAGCGTACCAATTTTTTTTTTTAAAAAAACTAGGTAAAAACAAAATTATATTTCAACAAAATTCAATAAACTAAGTATTTTATTAATTTTTTAAAAAACAGTTAATTTTATTTTTTTGTATATTACAAAATTTTAGTTAATTGAAAGTGACTTTCTAAGTAAACTATCAAAAATTAAGTGATTTTTTAAGTGAACTATTAATAGTTAAGTACTCCATCTGAGATATTAATTCAAACAAGTTGCAACAAAAACTTTTCTTCTCCAAAATTGAAAAGATAAAGAGTTTGGTTGCAACTAATAATGCTACCTCAGCCTCTTAAAAGAGTTACTCTTGCGAAAACTTGCCAAACAAAAAGAGACTTGGCAAAAACTCTACTGACAGAACAAGCAAAGCACCTCTTTTGAATTATCCATTTTGGAATTGTGAGTTAGATGTTGAAATGAAACTACGTTTGACGGCATAGTCCAATAGAATTTTGAATACAACCATCATATAATATCATTAACTATATCTTTTTTTTTTTTTTGGTGTCAAATGGCAGGTATAACAAACAATTAGCTAGTGAACAACACTTCCATAGTGCAAGTTCACGTAATTTCGAATAACATAGCTCGCGCTGGGTGTACTAAACCTATGTAAATCTATCCGTTCCAACTTGAACGATTAGATTGTGTATTTGAACTTGTATCTACGAAGCCAATCTTCACCTTTATCATAATAATCCGTTCTACTGAATGTTTGCTGTGGGAATTGCATAGCAGCAGCATACACCGAAGCACCACGCCATGCATCCATAATTGGATCTGTTGCTCTGACAACCTTTATAGGAGTTCCACATGGCCTGATCATCCGAATTCCTGCTTCCAAGCGCTCACCCATACCTGGGTAGAGACAACTCCCGCCAGTCACAAGTATTGAACTTGTCATTTTATCCTCCAAGCCTTGTACCCAACTAGGCAACCTTCTCAATGACACTCCAACCATTTCGTCCAACCCCGACTGGTCTATCCCAATGAAGTTGGGATTGAATAAAACTTCAGGACATCTAAATCTTTCAACCCCAAGTATGATTTGAAAATCCTCCTTTGTTAGAGGACGGAAACGTGGCACCTCTGAGGCAGACGCTCCAGATTCTGATCCTGGAAAAAATGTAGGGTCGATCTCCTGTGCAGATAGGTTACATCAGGATACACCTTTAAAGAACAATCCAACACAGAGACTAACGCCAAACAAAGTGTCAAGAAAACATACTGACCCGAAGCCTAGAGGAGATGCGAGCCAACTCAGTTTCATCATGATCTGGCTTATCATCGTCATCATCGTCATTATCTCTACTCATTAGCTTGTAGAGTTGCCAATCTTCATCCCTTTGACCAAACGTATCTTCACCTTTCCCTCGATCAAATGCTGCCGTTGTTAACAGACGCATCCTCTCTCTTTGGGCAGCATTCAACCTCTCCCCGCGACCAACACCTCCAGAAACATTATTATTGCCATTTGCATGGTTACCATTTGTCTTCAATCGCTTTCGCTGCTCAAGTTTTTCAGAGAGCTCTTTGTATTTGGCTCGCAACTGCTCCAAATAGCATTCTGGGTTTTCCCTACACAACACAAGATGAATTTATAAAATAAAGAGATATTGAAACATGAAATATCGGAAACAGCCTCTCTACCTCCATGAGGTAGTGGTAAGGTTTGCTTACACTCTACCCTCCCCAGACCCCACTTAATGAGATTTCAGTAGGTATATTGTTGTTGGTGGTGTATTGAAGCATGAAATATACCAGGATGCAGCAAAACTGTAATTAAAGTATGTTATTTTTTGCCTCATCTTTATAAATACATATATCCATTTTGAGAAGAAACGGATACTACTGCACATCATTGTAAACAAGTTTAATTAATGCTAGAATAAGCTAGCTCAAGTATTATCTGACATGAAATACAACATACATGCGCTTTTGTTCCTCAAGTTTCTTTTCCTTCTCCTTTTCTAACTCCTCCTCCAGACGCCTTTGTTTAGCTCGTTGCCGTGCTTCAGTTGTGGATTTCAGGAACACTTGTCTTCTCTTCTCCTTGAGCTATTAACAAGTTTCAGTATTTCCATTTTCAGTTGAAAAGTTTTAATATAAAAAAATGAAAATAAGTGGAAGATGATTTTGTACAATGCTGGCCAAGAGAAATGGAAGAGACAATTGCAACAATAAATTTAGTTGCAACAGCTCTCTTTTTTTTTAAATCTACTACATAAAGTACCAGATAAGTTCAAGAGACAGCATACGGGAATTACAGTATAATATCTCACAAAAGTTGAGCTATTAAAACATTATGATGACATGAGTTTATTTCTCATACGAAGTGCATTAATGTAACACCACAATATTCAGAAAGTAAAGGGAAAAAGACTTGGATATCGAGTTCTTCACCATCACAAAATTTTTTTGATATACAACTGCCCAACAACAGTGACTACCAATATGGCGATATACGAGCATACCTGCTCCGCCGAAAGTTCATCATCAGGTATATCAATGAGATAATACTTCTCAGCTGCAGAAATATCCACTTTCTCTTCACTTGGAACTTGCTCACCCTTGGCCTTCCGAAGTGATTGAGTAACTTTTGCAAAAGCGGATTCCACTTCACGTTTAGCAGCATAACCTCTACTCACAAGGAACGACACAATTTCATCATCCTCCTCAATGTCCTTGAGCTCCTCTAAGAGGAATTCCAAACCTTTTAATTCATTTTCAAGTTCATTTATTTTTGAGGATCTTTTCGCTTCAGCCATCTCACGCAATCTTTGACTTTGTTTCTCCTTCAAAGCTGCCTTTCTAGCAATTTCTTCTTCTGATGGAGGTTCTTCGACTGGTGATGGAGTCCAAGGAAGTTGCCAACATCTGGTTTTATCTTCAGCTTCTTTATCCCCTCTCTGACACAATAAAATCAAATATTTTACCTCCGTTAAGCAGATTAGAGAGGCTGGGCAAGAGATAAAGTGCTAATTACCTGAAATAGTTGAACCTCTGAAGCATAGTCTCCAGCTATGTAACAGTGTTCCATCTTCAATTCTTCAACCCTTTCCCATGTAAGCTTTGATCTGTTTAAGCATTTAAGAAATGAAGCCTGAGAAGCAGCCAAAAGTTTAGCAACATCATGACTTTCAAAGAATTATAACACCTACATGTGATGAGGGTACTTGAGTGAAAGAAGCTGCTTCAGATAATCAGTGACATGGTAGCCACCAACGTTAGTTCGACAGCACGCTTCATAGACAGGTTCTCCATTTATAAACTGAAAATACAACAAATTCCATCATATATTTGAGAAATGAGAGCCTACCACTAGCAAAAACTGCATCATGATATGTGAAGCAGAAATTTAGCCTGAAAGTGCATGGGGTCTTAAATTGATCTCTTTCACATACTGGGACCTGCGCCAATTGAAAAATGCTAGAAGGGCCAAAATTTCCCTTCAACTATGAAAAATGGGGCAACTTTCCCTTCTTTGCAAATTGTCCCAAATTGCCCCTGCTGTTAATGAAGTGGGTCATTTTCACTCTTAAAAACTAACAGACCTCCGTCTCATTTTTTAACTCATCTTAATTTATACAAGTGGAAAATAAAGATAAAGACCCATGAACGTATCTAAGCCGTCCCACCAACCCAATTACCCATTCCAGTCATAACAACAGACAACTATTTTTTCTTTCACTATCTATCAAAACTTTTAATTTGATAATTGTCCACAAAGGCCTATTGCACTATCTGAACTGCAGTGTGAAAAATTCCAAACTCAGATGCGCTACTCCTTTCTCTTTTTAACTTTGTTAAAAGAATTGCTGATTACATTTTAATTCTTTGGGAAATATCTTAAAGTTCTTCGAATTAAATTAAAAAAATATATTCCAAATTCTACCAGCTTAGTAGACAACCATTTCTTTGACATAACTACAACTACTATACAATATACTTTTATCTTTGTCCCTTCTCTATCTTTGTTTTGTACTCTCATATATATAACCATGCCTAGAAACCAAACCAATGTTCTTTTCTTTTCTCATGAAGGGATAATTTGAAGCAGTGAATAAATTTGGTAATATTTAAATGTGACTTTTAAGTGGGGATTTTGAAATTTAGTTCATGTATTAACGTATTAAGATGGAGAAAAGTGTGACTGTGAGATCCGGGGGTGTACTGAAGAAGAAAAACTCTTCTGGGTCCGAGTCATTGAAATGGGTAATTAGGTTAGTGGGACAGGTTTGATGGATTTTTATTTTCCACCTATATAAATTAAAATGGGTAAAAAAATGACATGGAGGTCTATTAGATTTTAAGGGTAGAGACAGTCCAATTATTAACGGCAAGGGCATAATTGGACCACATGCAAATGGTGGGTAAAATTGTGACCCATTTTCGATAGTTGAGGGGAGATTTTGTCCCTTTTCATCTTTCAAAGATGACACCTTCTTGCTTTACATTTGGCATCGTCAAACAGGGACAAGGTTAGCACCTTTTAACATGTGATAAAGGTTTGCTAAAGATATCATTAAGTAAATAAAAGTGTGTTCTCTCTAACAAAACTTAAGCTTTTAGATGATATAGATGGTCACAAACTTCAACATGGTTTCAGAGCTTGAGTGAAAAAATATCACTATGCCACATACCAGCTACATCTGCCAAGAAAATCTTATCCTCGTGCAATTTCCGAGCAACTTAAGGGTTGTTAGCATCAAAAACGTTTTCGTTAGTATTGTGCAAAAACCAACACCACTCCAGGTTCCTCAGCCTGCGGCGACCGAACTCCAAAAAGAAGCTTCGCCAAATATGGAAACACCATCGTATGTGTTGTCACGCACAATTGGCAATTTCAAATCCTGTGATACGTCAGTCTCACACATCGGTGAGTAAACCCTTTTCAAACCACTTCTAGTCCTTAGCAGAGGCGTATCCAAGGGGGGGTCATTGGGTTCACGTGAACCCATGGTCCCCTCCTGAGATCATATATAGTAGTGTTATATTTTTAAAAAAATATTGAAATATAGATGTGTGAACCCACACTTGAAGTATCACATAATGCGATTATGATTGGATGCACCTCTCTCCGCGAGGTTAGAAATTTGAATTTTATATTTATCTTGTTTTATTTTTCTTTCTAAAATTAGATAGCACTTCTCTAAGTGGTAATTGCTATATATATAATTTTAGACCTAAAATTTTAAAATTTCAACGGTTTTCAATAGTAAAAGCCTAAATGTCGAACCGATCAAATTTATATCATAAATCAACCTTTTTTATAACAGTGCACCCATCATCTCAAAATCCTGGATACGCCTCTGGTCCTTAGGGTTCGCTAGTCTATTTTGAGACCACCCATCTAAATTCCTTCAATTTCCGACCACCGAGGTAGGGTTCCAGCGTTACAAACTTGTTTTCGGCCAGATCTCTCTTCTTTGACATCTTTTCTGCGAATTTACGTTAGTGGAGACGCTTTAGACATTGCATCCCCCCGTTTAGTTTGCAAAATATTTGTTGATTCTCTGGCAGTTCTCAGGTCATCTACCCGACGAGTTTTTCCAGCAACATCTGGAATTTACTTCCTGCCCAACCTTTTCGGCCATATTTGGTGGTTAGTTGTTTATTTTTGGTTAGAACTCTCTTCAATCCAACAATATGTAGCTTGATTTTGATGTTTCTTTTTTATGACAAGGAAAACCCGCAATCGCTACCCTTTCGATGCGCACAGGATGAAACCCCCGCTCCTATGCAATAGCTCACAAACCAACAAACCACATAGGAGAGGTAACCCGCACTAGGCAAGCCCGGTGCAACGAGCTCGACCCAGAAGACAAACCCCTTGCTTTCGCTGGCAAGGGGTTTCGAGCATCAGACCTCCAACATGGAAGTCCCAAGCCCAAACCACTGGGCCACCCCAAAAATACGCGATTGTGATTACTTTTTTTTTATAAAGTTAGGGTTAAGAGTTTTGTGATTACTTTGGAACCCTTACTTGGAGGTTCTAACTAGGGGTTGGAAAATTAGCCTATGAATACATGAACCCGCCCAAGCTTGGGCAGGTTAATTACCTGCTCCACCCATTTATAGCTCAACATTTCAACCTGCCCAATTCAACCCATCTAATTTGGGTTAACATATAGCCTAAATTAATCCACAAGAAACCTTGACAAAATATTTTTAAAAAGACTTTTTTGTGACATGTGTTAGATATGGCCATAATAAACGGAAAAAAGTTAGTAGTTTTATTTGAAAATGAAACAAGAAATTAAAACATGCTAATAGTTGGGTGGATCGGGCTATGACCCATCGTTTAGCCCATCTTGACTCAACCCATCTTATAGCCCCAGTGACCTCATTAACCAGCACATTTATCAACTCTACCTATTTTGACTCGTCTAAATTCAGCCCAACTCACCCATTAGTTCTAATTTGTTTGGGAGATACTGAACAACAGTAGTAGAATTGAATTATCTCATCTCCGTTACAACCTCATAATCTAATATCTACTTTTAAGTGAGTGAGAATCGTCATTCAGTTTCAAGATCCTAAGTAAGATGACCAGGATTGTGTTTATTTTTATTTTTTTTTATAACCGAGAAATCCGCATGTGACCCGCCCTTTGGACCAATCACAACCTTCAAAACTCGGTGGATAATGCCCCCCCCCCCCTCTACCCTTCACCACTTAAATATCGGGCTTCGCTTTGTATGATGCAGTGAAATTAAAAGCGCGCCTAAGCGCAAAAGCGAGGCGCAAATACACTTTGCTTCGCATGACCTAAGGCGAGGCTAATGTCAATGGGCCCTTCTAATTTTTTTATTTATTTTTAAAAAAAACATTAGTTTAAAAAAAAGGGTCCTTTTAAATTATTATAAAGTGTTTGTTCCAGTTCCCTAGACTACACTTAAGGAAGTCATAGAGTCTCTAAAAGACAAAAAAAATGATGAAGAACTATAAGAAGACAAGGAATTGAAGGCTTGAAGCACAAAAAAGAACAATCAGATTCTTATTCCGCTGGCAGAACAAGCAGCAAGCAAATACATGTATCTTCTTTCTCTTATTTCTTCTTACTTTTACTTATTTCATAAATTGTTGATGCTAAACATTCAATATTTCATACTCCTTTTTATCTTTGTAGAAAATTTAAAAATAAATGGGAATATGGGACACTTGTCCTTGTTTAATGACTGATGGTGTCTTAACTTTAATAATGATCAATGAAAATTTAATACTTGTAAGAGGATAATAACAAAGATAATTTTCTTAGAAGCCATATAGCCATAGTGGTGGACCCCATATATATGTAGTTGTATTTCATTATTTGCTGTGTTATAATTGCATGCAAAGTTCTTTTATACTTTTTTTGTTGCAACTTAAAAATAACAAAGAACTTGTCCAGTGTCCCCTTTTTTTGTTCTTGTTGTGTATTATTATTTATTATTTAAAAATTATAACTGCTATATTAAAACCTTCTTTTTTTCCAGAAGTAGAAATGGCAGAGGACTTGTCTAAAGGCAATAGAAGGGATCCTGGTTGGAAATATAACTACTTGAAGGACCCTGATGACACTACAAGAGTCACGTGCAACTTTTGTGGAAAAACAACCACGGGTGGAATTAATCGGGCAAAACAACATTTGATCGGAAACTTTAGAAATGCAGCAAAGTGTAAAAAATGCCCAGAGGAGGTTAGAGAGGAACTGAAAAATTACATGGAGACAAAAAAAAGAAGGAAATCTATACTAACGAGTTTCCCGAATTTGATGAGTTTGAATATCAAGACAATGTTGGTGGAGAAGATGAAGTCCAAGAGATCAATCATAAAAAAAGAGGCGGCGGAAGCTTTCCTAGTGGCTCTAATAAGAAACTGGCCAAAGGAAAGGGACCTATGGATGAATTTCTACAAAAGCGTGGAACACTTGGGCAAACAAATATCAAAGACTCATGTGATAAAGAAGCAAGAGCAATGACGATTCAAAAAGTAGCTCGCTTCTTTTATGATAATTGGATCCCATTCAATGTAGCTCGCTCAAAAAGTTTTAAGGAAGCAATTGAGGTTGTAGGAAGGTATGGTCCAAACGTGAAACCTCCAAGCTACCATCAATTAAGAGTTCCATTACTTAGGAAGGAAGTTGAGTTGACTAATGAGATTATAAACAAACATAGAGAAGAATGGGTGAAGTATGGAACTTCCATTATGGCAGATGGTTGGACAGATAAAAAAACAGAGAACTTTGATAAACTTTTTGGTGAATTCTCCACATGGAACAGTGTTTATTGAGTCGATAGATGCTTCCTCACTTGTTAAGACCGGAGAGAAGTTATGTGAATTGCTAGATAGATACGTGGAACACGTTGGAGAACAGAATGTAGTTCAAATTGTAAGTGATAATGGTAGCAACTTTGTGTTGGCTGGTAAGAATCTATTGCTTTAAAAATTTAAGTTTTATGTTTTACTTTCTAATATCGATCAAAGTTTTAATTTCTAAATTTTAACATATCTATTTACCCTTTTTTTCTATAGGTCAACTGTTACAGAGAAAAAAAGCACACATATTTTGGACGCCATGTGCAGCTCATTGTATAGATCTTATTTTGGACGCCATGTGCAGCTCATTGTATAGATCTTATGTTAGAAGACATAGGGATTCCTATCATCAAGAAGACCCTCCAAAAAGCAATTGCCCTTGTCGGTTTCATTTATAGACACTCAGGAGTCTTAAATATGATGAGAGATTTCACTAAGAATAAAGAGTTGGTGAAATGTGGGATTACTCGATTTGCAATGAGTTTTCTGACTTTGCAACGGTTGCATTGTCAAAAAACAAATCTGCGAGCAATGTTTACATCTGACAAATGGGTGATTAGTAGGTGGGCTAAGTTACCAAGGGGGGAAAGTGCAACACATACTGTCTTGACGGCAACATTCTAGAGTCAGGTTTCTAATATTTTGAAGATAATGGGGCCTCTTGTTAAAGTGTTGCGATTAGCTCATAATGAGAAAAAACCTGCCATGGGGTACATTTATGAAGCCATGGATAGAGTTAAGGAGGCTATTGCAAAGGCATTTGAAGGGAATACTGCAAAATATAAAGATATCTTTAAGATTATTGATGAAAGATGGCAATGCCAATTGCATCATCCATTACATGCTGCTGGACATTATTTAAATCCAGAGTTCTTCTTTCAAAATCCAGCTATTGAGAATTGTCAAGAAGTAACAGATGGGCTGTATCCTTGTATTGAAAAATTGGTTCCAAGCACTGAAGTACAAGACAAGATCATATCAGAGATACCATTGTACACAAGAGCTGAACAACAATTTGGCCTTCCTATTGCAAAAAGAGCTAGAACGAAAAGATCTCCTGGTAAGTGAAAACAATAACATTTAAATTCTTAATTATTTAGTTTATGTTTAAAAGTTTACTTAATACTTCTTACTTAGTACTTAGGTAATAACTTATACATAATGATGTCTACATAACACTTTTTACAGTTGAATGGTGGAATTTATATGGTAATTCAGCTCCCAATCTCCAAATATTAGCCATTAGAATTTTGGGTTTAACGGCTAGTTCTGCTGGATGTGAGCGTAACTGGAGTGTGTTTGAGCATGTAAGTACTAAGTACTCGTAGCGGTATACATCATATTTATTAATTTTTCTTTGCATAGTTAATCAATTAGACTAATTTACTAACACTAACCAATGCAACAGATCCATACCAAAAAAAGAAACAGATTGGAGCATCAAAGATTGAATTATCTAGTGTATGTTAAGTATAATCGTGCTTTAAAGCTCGTTATGACTTGCAGAGTGTCATTGATCCAATCTCGTTGGATAACATTGATCATAGTAATGAATGGTTGGTTGGGAAGATGGGTAAAGTTTGGTGATGACAACTTAACTTGGGGTGATGTTTCAAGAGCGTCGGGCATTGAGGATGTGTTGACATACACAAGGTGACAAAAGAGAGTCGGAAGTTATTACAACTAATGCCTCAAGCTCCCGAGCTCCACGTGTTGACATAGAAGATGAGTTGATTCAGATGAGTAGGGGAAGAAGAGATTGAAGGCTATAAATCTAGTGATACTGATACAATGAGAATCCCTATTGAGGAAGATGATATGGAAGAATATTATTTTAGTGATTAGAAGTAGAATATATAAGCAACATATGTTTTGATGAACCAATCTTCATTATAAGCACTACATATTTACTATTTTTGTGTCTATTATGCTCTCTCTCTCTCTCTCTCTCTCTCTCTCTATATATATATATATATATATATATTTTGAAAATTCTTCATAGTGCACTTTTATATATTTTAAAAATTCTTCATAGTGCGCTTTTTTTAGTGAATCCCGCGCTTTTAGTGCACTTTGCGCTTTAAGCTCCATCAGGCTTTAGCGCTTTTTTGCGCTTTTCGCTTTTGACAATACTGGCATGGTGTGGGACTAGGATTGTGTTATACTCAAGGTCTATTTAATAACATGATATAAAACCAAACATAGGTTCTAGGCTCTAGTCTCACCGCCATTCATTATCAAAATAAAAAATCATGTTTTTGACTCATTAAAATGGAATCAAGCCTACAGGTGAGGGGCATGGGGAAGATACAAAGGTGCTCTCTACCGGTTTAAAATTTTACATGAGATGGTCACACACATCAACACCACCCATAATTTATTTTCCCCTTTCAAATAGATAAAGCACAATGCTACTACCATGTCAATTCACTACAGCCGCATGATAGGACTCTAAAGCATACCGGGATGACATGAGATGTGGTAAATCCTGAGGTGATTGCAAGGCCTGTATCATTGCAAATTCCAAGCTGTTGGTTGTATTTGTAGCTGAATGCAGCATCTACACCGAATGCTGCAAGACAGAAAAAAATGCCTACCGTGAGCAACAAGTTCACATAAATGCCACAGAAAGTCATGTTCTCAATTATCAAATCAACAAACTGTTGTTTGGTGAGAAGTGAACCAAGTAACTATTGTCATCAATGAAAGAACTTTCAACAAGGTCATGATAAAACAAAGCAACCTTAGGTTTAGGATGATAAAAAAGACGACATGATTACAGGAACACCATACGACTTTATGAACAAAAATCCAAAGCAATACACAACAGCCCTGGGCAACTGATATGGGTGTTCATACCTACTGAAGGAACTCCATATGACTCAAAGAGAAGCTCAGCCATTTTGCCACGAGATTGAACTGGATTGCAAGCACATTCAGTAATTAAGATAGGATGGTCAATCTGCCCTGCCACAGATTTGAATAAGTATTGGTTTAAGGGACTGCAAGCTGAAGTTTAACAACAGGATATATACAACAAAAATTAAATGCACAAAATCATAGTTTGCCTTTCACCATATTTTAAATATCTTAGCTTTGCCAGTCCAAATTATTTTGTTCTCAATAAAGATAATGGTTCTTGTGATATAATAGGGAAACTGAGGATGTATACTTGGAGAATTCTACACAAGGATAGGGTTCTGCAGAAAGAGCATCTAGGCAGCTGACTGGATTATCATATGTGCTCCATAACTTCACAATGTAAAAAGAAAAATGTTTCATTCATGTCTACAAAAAAAAATTTCAACACCCTTTATTCCCCTCTCTATATATTGTCTACATAAGTGACAGAGCAGTCAAGTCTCATGCTCTCCTTATATTACAGTAGCAAATCTCTGACTGTCCGTCACATCACCCACTGAACCCCAAATATACATGCTATGCACCATAATCTATGCCATCATAATCAGTTTGGAAGTGAAAAGATGGATCGTAGGGCAAATAGCTTGAGTAGTGGTATCTCTGTGCATATATGGTATAATGTGTACGCCTTATGAGAAACAAAGGTATGCAAACTGAAGTGCATCTCTTCATTTATGCATTTGCAATGCAATCGCGACAATATATCATCACCCAATTGTTTAATGCCATGACTTCGAAAAACCTAGATATGGAGGCACATCAATTGACACGGAATATCTTACAAAAGGGGAAAAAAGAGAGATGAGAAAAGAGGATAATGTCGGAGATTCCCCTTTCCAAAAATAGTACATACCATACAACTTACTTGTGTAAAGTATAAATATTGATGTCGTTAAGGTCAGACAACTTTTACCATAAATATTTTTCTGCCAATTTTAACGAGTTTATGAAGTCTCTTTTTTATTCTGACATATATGTAAAACTATAAGGACCTTATATGATGCTTGCTTAGTCCATGTTTCTTCAATTTCTTTTCTGTGTAAGCATATCAATTTGCATCCTGTTTATGCTTCCTAGAAACTACAGTTGGATAAAAATTATGTGGTAAAGATAAAAGATAAAAAAGAAGACAAAATAATTTGACAATTGACAATGATCATCAAACCTCAAAGACCAACAAAGACAGTTTATATCAAAGAGAAGCCATAGTCAAAGCAAAGGCCACAACAATGATTTCAAAGTTTCTCTCGAAAAAGTAAGAACCAAAAGATTCTAATTAAACCAAGCTGAATATAGTTACATCAGATCTATCTCATCCTACGAAAAAGTTGGATGGAAGCTAGCATACCTGTGACTGATCAGCACCTAATCGATCAAACCCAAAGTCCAGGATCTACATACGGAAAACATAATGGTGACATGAGTACCTTTTCAAAAAACATAACGGCAACATGATTAATGCACACAAGACAAAGTAATCCGTAACCATCATTTGTTTCATATGTCAGACTCAGGTTAGCAACATAGCATCACATAAACCAAATTTATGCATCCAACTATCTACACCAAGAACACCACGTATGGCATCAGTGCCAGCAAAAAGTAGGGAATGAATCATTATTGAAAAGTGTTGCGCTACAATAGGCCGCGCATTAATATTCTAGTCAGATTGCACTGTCTTGACACTCTAAAATTAGATCATGAATTTGCCTTGCCACCTTGGCCTAACATCCCAAAGAGGTTACAGTTGAAATCCAAAGAGGGTGTTCTCTCTTGATAAATAGGAACGGGTCATAGAACACAGTAGTTAGACCTAATGTCTAGATAAATTGTCAGCTATCCTGATAGTTTCATACTCTGGTAGATGGTTTGATCTTTCTATCTGGGAGGGGGTTCGGGTATAAAATTTATTGACATCACAAATTTCATGGTCAAGCTTACAAACATAGAAAAACCATTTACCCAAATACTATCCCCACAAAATAGAAAACCCTTACATATTCCATTATCTCAAACTGATAAACAACATTGCTCTCAAATGCTGAACGAGGTCCTGAACGCGTGCAATCAAAGTACTTCAGTAGCGCAGGATTGTGATCACCAACAACTGTTACTGTTTCACCTGCAATATGATAAGGTAAGCATAATAAAACACTGAAGCTAGTATTCACCAATGAAATGATGATGTATTATATGCATTCAATATTTAAAAACATGTTCATGGTAGGTGATGTTTAGCAAGAAGTCATTTTGATCATTTCTTCACCAAACATCACTACAGACTGTTCATTGGGAACTTTTTTTCCCCTGAAAACAGTTCTGTCCAGGCCAGCTTGCACACACCTCGACAATTTAATAATATCTACATAGGGGTTGTTTAGCACGAAATAATTCAGATCATTTCTTCACCAAACACTTCACTATAATCTGATCATCTTAGAACTTTTTTTTTTTAATAAGATTGAGTTCAGATCAGGTCGCTCGCACCTCGATAAATCTACCAAATGCTTGTTAGTTGTTACCTCCCATTGGCACAGGTATGGAGTAACTCTATCCACCAAGACTTATACAAATGGGAAGAAATCACCTAACTGTTTTTTTTCTACAAGGATTTGAACCTTGGTCTCCTTTGGTGCATTTAAACTTCATTGACCTTAATGTCATACCCTTGTGTACTTCATTATGGAATATTATTAATCATAATTGGATAATTAAGCACTAGTCAAATTAGAAACTTACAGTAAACTCACCATCCAAACTGGTCCTGACATTGCTTCCAAATGAGTTATCATTTTTAAATCAACTACCAAAGGATCAATTAGTTACACGATCAGTAAAAGTTTGATGATTAGCCAAACAAGCCTTTAGAATCAATTCTATCCTTCATGTGCGGAAGAGAAATCCATCACAGAGGATAATATAACCAGCATAATGACTCAACCTAATGTTCCAGTTATGCAGAATGGAGAGTACTTTAGACATCCTGTTTGAATTGAACTGCACTCAATGAAGCAACTCTAACTCAAGACAACCTGATTAGAAGATCCATTTGCATAGTTAATAGATGCTACATGTGTCAGAAGGATATAGAGATTTAAACACCTCTTTTTTTATAAGGACATTGTAAAATAACAGCAGATAGTTGGAACATGTTTATCTTCTTTTGGACTCATCTGGGTTATGTTAGGTGGTATCAAGGATGCACATGTGAGCTGGAGCACTTGGCAAATTTAGTTTTGAGAAAAAAATAGTTAAAACACTAATTAGCAATCTGAACCAGTTTTGAATCCAACCCAGCCAAAATAGACCCAATAGCTGACCCGACCAATTCATTTTTATCCTAAAGAAAGCCGAAGTGCTCATATTTTCGTTCACTGGTGGTTTATCACATTTCATATGTTATATGTTGTTTTGATCGATACTAACTTACTAAGTGAATGTAATGTTATTTTTTTATGTGAAATTTGAGAAGTGAATGGTAACTAGCTTACCATTATGTTGTAATTGTTATTGGTTCCATGTACGTTAATAATTACTTCAATTTCCATGGCCTTCTGTGGAATCTTTCAGGGTTGACCCACATTTGTCTTGATCAAGAAGATTGTTTGAATTGTTGATACATGAATACATATTGTCAAGTACACTCGGAAACAAGAAAATGATTTATTTATTTTACATGGAAAAAAAACGTGAAGATTCCATAAGAGGTGTTAAGTTAAACCTCCTGAATGTTCCTTTCACTTATCAAAAGAAAGTAAAAGCAGCAGGATTAACATTTAACAAGATAGAAATCTAGAGGCAAGCCAAACAATTGAAAATACTAACATCACTCGTTTTATTGCCACAACCGGTAAACCCACTGTGAATAACATCCCCCCTTCTCAATTAGCTAACTTAGGGTGTGTTGGGTAGTTCCAATTATCCGTAGTTAAAAAAATTTAGAAAATAATTTCTCTAAGAAAACAAGTTCCTTAAAACTGAAGACAATGACTTCCCTAGTGAAAGTAGAAAAAATAAGTTCTACAAATAGCATTCTGCAGCGATTGTGTCCTCCCAATCCTCCAACACACCTCATTTTCAACCCCACTCCACTAGGTCAGACCCCTACCCAACCCAACTCCTCGAATAAATAGGGATGACAAGAAAATAAGTAGAAAACACACTTATTTTTTGCATTTTCCTTTATAATGAACAGACCCTTAATCTAAAATCTTGTTAGTTTAGTAAAATCATGAAAAATGTGGCTCCAATTAATACATAAACATACCAGTGGTTTTGTGACGAGGCCTCTGAACAATATTCCGGAAGATAACGCGAGGTTCATTCTCACCTGCCCACCTGTCAATTAACAAGAAGCGGAGCTAAAGCACACCAAATACAGATAGAAACAGAGAGAGAAATTGGGGGATTTAGGAGTGAATACCCAATACGGAAATAGGAAGCGCCATTGTCAATGACAATAGGGTGACTTGAGTTGAAGGAACCGTAATCTGATTGCCTCTCTATTTTCGATATGAAAGGCATTCTTCCCTTGTTTGCCCTATTCTCCTTCTCTTTGCTCTTCTTCCTCTAAACGCTGTTGCCCTAGAGCTTCATGGAGTGTCACCCCACAAATTAGTTAAAACACTCTCTACCGGCTACCAGGGTCAATTTTTATTTTTATTTTTATTTTTATTTTAAAGGAAATGGAACTCATATCTTTTTTCTTTATTTTCACCACTAAAAATTTCATTTTTTTCCTGATGAAAGTAGAAAAAATAAGTTCTATGATTTTCTTACATTGATTGTATACTCTTTCCTCCAACAACACCCCAATGTTGTAGCCCCATTTCCGTCACCTCATGTCCCTACCTCAACATCACCTCCTCTAATATTTTGATTAGATTATATATAAATAGTTTTAAAATAAATATATCAAACACAGAAAATAGGTAAGAGATTCACTTATTTTTCTAAAAAAATATTCTCATAAAAAACATTTTCCTTTGAACTTGTTTGGGCACAAAGATGTATCATAATTTGAGGCAGCATTGCTGGTGGAGTGGAATGATGAGAGATATCGCGGAGAATGTGTCTCATTGCTTGTGTTGCCAGCAGGTGAAAGTCAACTATTTTAGGCTTGGATGTGAGTTTCAGCGATTACCCATTTCGAAGTAGAAGTGGGAGTGCATCACCATGGACTTCGTTATTGTCATTACCCAAGATGACCCCCTGGACGTAACATGGAACCTAGAGCCATAAGTGACCCCAAGCTAACCACATTGTATAGCATGACACTAAGAAAACATACATAACTTAAATGACATGGAAAGGGGAATAAAGTCTCAAATGACTGACATAACATAATAGAGAAATCTGAATACGACGACTCATGTGCGGAAATACTAATGTCTAAAATAACATCTAAACATAGGTAAATTGATTGGACAAGTTCCTAGCTCACTAGAACAATCTAAAAAGTGATAAGGAAGTCTAAAATGAACATAGGAAACCATAAGTGGCATGTCCCCGAACCATGAGGATTCACCTAAGTAGTGTATGGCTAATAAGAGTATGTACTAACCACGAGCCTGATGGGATGCATTAGAATTTATATTATGAAACAATATAGGCCGGAAAGTATACGATCAGTACTCGAAATGTACTGTGTATAGGAAAGTGCATGAACATGCCATAATAACATGTGAAGTCTGAAAACATGCTAATAGAATGACCAAGTAAACATAACATGAAAATTGATGATCTGATTTTGAAAACATAGTACCAGGTCATGCATTAGTCTGAAAATCATAGTCATATATGGGAGATACTGTTAACCGACATAAACTATGTGAACTATAACATGGAGTTTAGTATTCTTCTCCCACACCAAAAAGAGAGTGTCCTACTAGCCAAGGTAAGGATTAGGAATTTGAGTCAAGGTGGATCCACTAGTTAAAGTCTGTAAAGTATAACGATCCGAGAGCACCCCCTAGTCGTTACCGGCGTATTCGACCTCTTGGAGGTCTTATACAAGCCCTTAGCATTCGTCATAGCATTTATTATAGAAAAATAACGGAAAATTTAAAACTTTTTCATAATATAACACATGACTTAAAAGTCACCTCATTTAAACCTTTAATACAAAATCGGAGTACTACGTTTCAAGGTAGCCATCTTAAAACATGACTACAACATAAGAGGGACACAACCCTTACAATACAAAAGAAACTACTATCTAGTATATAGAACTTAAGGAAACTCTTTAACATAAAGGTCCTTGAATCTTTAAGGACACACCCAAACTTGGGAATAGTAAGCCAAGCTCATCACTTCTAGGAAAGAACCTTTAGTCACCATCACCTACACTTGGTGTAAAAAAGATGAAGAAGAATGGTGTTAGTACAAGAATGCACTAAGTATGATAACCATGCAAAACATGCTTTTAAAAGGACTTTTTGTTGGAAACTATGCATCATGCCTTTTTAGAGAAACTTTATGAACATTTAGTACAATAGGCACAATATAAACCACATACATCATCATACACATGGAAACCATTCATAATTGCACATAGGGCCACTTATAACATTTTAGGCACATTCAATGCATACAATACATTACCTTCTTCTTTATCTTAACTCCTTTCCTCAAGCAACCCTTAGGGAATACTTGGTGCAATGTATCGCCTTAAGGTTACCAAAGGTGAACTTACATATAGCCTTCATCAATCCAACCACATATATTCATAGAGTCATAAGCACACCATAAGACATAGTCTTCACATAGGAACCATCACCTAAGACAACCCCTAAGTCACACTAGTGCAATGTGCAAGTAGCATCCCATAATACTACTCACACCAAGTGTTCCTAGGAAGCCACCATAGACTAGGTACATCATATTCAACAAGTCATAACATTTTCATCTAACATTAGACATAAGACCAACATACTTCATAACATCATATAAAGACTCATTCATTTACTACATCATTAGTCATAACCCATTTAATTCATATCATAGGTAAACCACCCTCACAACCCCTTCACAAGCTCACTTGTGCAATGTACACATGGAGTCCCATACCCCCACATATACTAAGCAAACTCATTAAGAAGTCATAAGTGTAATTCACATGCATAATCATACTTCATGTCTTGACATAAGTAAAGTAAACCTTAATATGATTTCATATTAACATACATAGACCATAGTCTTCATTACATAAAGAGCCTAATCATAACCTCCTTTAGAGTCCACTTGTGCAATGCATAAGTAGGGTCCATAGTCCTACCTATACTAAGTAACTCTTCAAGAAATTATGACTAGAGTTCATATTCTTATCTTAGTTCATTTCTTAACTTTCGGGAGACATTGCCATAACCGACATAGACCATGTGAGCTACATGGAATCCGGTGTTCAACTCCTACACCAAAAAGAGAGGGTACTACTTGCCAAAGTAGGACCTACATACATAATAGCTATCTAGTGGATTCACTAAGCTAATACCTACGGGGGCACGTAGTTATGGAACAAGGAGATTGCTACTAGAAAACCTTGACTTACTAAGCGTGGAGGTTTTCATCTCATGAGACAACATCTATGTTGGGAACCCGAACTTGCTAAACGTAAAGGTTCTCTTGTGGGAAGCCGGACTTGCTAAACGTGAAGCCCCCATTCTCATTTTTCATGCTCACTCGGTGCTAAGCTCCAACTCCCTTTTTAAACATCTTTAAGCCTTTATTTAACATTAGTTCATAAAGTAGGCTTTAGGGACTTAATCCCTCATATTATATAGCTTAAGGGTTTCTAAAATGAGAATGACCTTTCATCATAGAGCCTACATTATGTGAGAATGACCTTTCACATAGTCATACCATATTCATAACATAGTCTAGTTTAGAGTACAATTGAGGAAACCTTTCAAGAGACTCACTTTCACTAGATTATCATAAACCTTATTCATTCATTCATGTGTGTGTACATATGTGAGAAAGCCTTTCACATAAACACTTTTATACAACACATATTCATACCTTGCTAATCATACACTTTGCATGCATAATAAGATGTAAGGGTGCATATAAGAGATAACCTTTCAATAGGCACCGTAACACATCATATTCATAGCTATACATGTAGAGTGTGTGTGCGCGCATATTGGTCCTCATAGTGACATAATAGCAACAACATTGATATTGAGTGCACTTCCCTTCAAGGGATCACCACACATTCACAATGTCCCCAAATCATGAGCAATTCACATATAAAGCCCTTAGGGATTCTAGACCACATACCCACACTTCATCATAGGAGACAAGGACACATTCAACATTGAATAGGTACTCCTAACATGTATATGATCAAATATTCATATAGGGGTCATATAGGTAGGGGTCATTCCACAATAGTACCTAACATAATCAATCATGTAGACCACACCTTATCCCTAACATTATCATTCATATTATACTCCTCATCATCAACACACTTTAACATCATGCTAGCATTGAGGATTTCATACATAACCTTCATAGCGTAACTTCATAAACATATGCATCATAATCATCAATTCACTTCACATCTATTGCCTTCAAGGCCATGCTCTCAACATGCATAGATAGACAAGAAGTGAACACCTCCACCATAAGTGGATCAAACCACACAACATCAATTCTCATACTATAGACTAGAAGTTAGGTCAACTTACCAATTCTCCAAGCCATGATCACCATGGATCAATCCTCAACAATTCATAATCAATTGACATAGGTAGCAATAGGAATCAACAATGTAATTCAATATCATAAACATAGTCTAAGTACAATTCCATAAACAAAGGGATCAACCCATAACTTTGCCCATAAGGCCATAATCCTCAACTCATCAATATACCAACAATTCAACATGAATAAGTATAGATAATCATAAGAAACATCAATACAATCTAATCTAAACATAATTTCATCAATAGAGATCATATTCACAAAGACCCACATCATAGGCCAATTTTTGAGAATTTGGGGATCATGGGTTCTTCAAGAATTCCTTTGAAAATTGTCTTAAAAACATTAATTCCACATTAATTTATCAATAAAATGATTTAGAAAATCGTTTGACAAGGAACCCATTTAGATTGAAAATTGGGAATTTTAGTCTTTGAATCACTTTTGAAAATCTTTTATAGAACTCCTTAAATGAGAGGTTATTCAAGAATCAAGAGCCACCATACCTTAATTATTGAAGACCCATGAAATTGAAGAAGAAATCAGTTGAAAACCCATCTTCTAGCTTGAGCTTCATCAAGGTCTTCAATGGAGTTTTTGAGAGAATCTATTTTGAGAGGGAAGGGTCAATTTGAAGAATGGGGTCTAATTTTAAAATTTGGGATTTTAAACAACTTAAAATACCCTAAAATAGGTAGAATAACCGTTTATAATAATTCCCCAAATACCCAAACTACCCCTCACTTAGTTGGACCTTTTTAAATAAGTCAAACTTGAGTTTTATTTTCGCAGATTTCGTTGGGAAACAAGTTCGCGACGCGGAGGTGGTCCCACAAGTTTTCTGGAAATTAAATTCGAGACAGTAGAGTCCGCGACATGTC